TTGATTTTACCGTATAGATTTGTTTTTTTCTAATCAGATGAGCAACTGGCAGACTGGCCTGTTGATATGGACTCTCGATTGAACAAAGCAGTTGATTTCGGTCGCGGGCGTGGATTCATTGCAGGAGGTGATAATGTGGTCATCGTGACCCGTTGGGAAGCTGGTGTCGGTGTGACGAACACTGTACGCGTATTCGAGGTGCCTCGGAGCGGAAAACCAATGAATATTGTGAATTCTCAAACCCGAATGCGTGACGGGGACTGGAGCGATTAGTCCTCTTAAATCATCGTTCTGCCTAACCTCAGGATGTGATGTTGGTTCATCAGCCATCAACACTGTTCCTTCAACGGTTCTCAACGAGCAGCCATGTTTCAATTGTTTCCTATTGAGATTTTTCCTTCTTACTGTTGGTCGTTTTGCGCCTTATGCAACTCCGAAATTGTGCTTCTCTCTATTCCGACGACGAGTCTTTTTGATTCTCGACGAAATAACTTTCACTCTACTCTCTCTTCCCGNCACTCTACTCTCTCTTCCCGATCGTGTATTCATTGCTAGTCGTCTTTGCCACAGACCGGATTTGTTGTTTCATGGGATGCTTCGATCATTTTCTTTCCTCACGTCACATCTTTTATACTATTTCTTTCATTGTCTAATGCTAATTTGATGAGTTTTACCGAATTCAGCATTGCACGCAGTTTGCCATTACTGTTTTGTCCCACGCACTCTCTTATTCTCATTCCCGTTCATGGAGCGCCGATCTTCTCTGTACCCATATCTTTGTACTGGATCGAATGTGGACATTTTTGCTATCGACTTGTCACTCCGTGCTTTGGTTCTGAATTTATATTCCAGAAGAGGTGATTGCAAAGTCCCCCTCTGCAAATTGCAAATGATTACACTGCATTGGGTACCGGAAAACAGGATTTCACACTGTGCTCTTCAAATCGAGTGATGGTTTGCATTCAAAAATTGTTGCGAAAAGTCCTCATCCTCTTTGAAAGTTTTCGAGGTCCCCCATTAGTCATGTTCGAGATCTATACCGTCTTTTGCTAGTGTTGGACTGAGGAAAGTTGTTCATTTGGAAGAACGATATGAGTATGGGTAGATTGAGTGTCACAGATCAAATCGTCTCAGCTGAAGCAGTCCAATCGTTATTTCGACATGCACGCATTGATAGAATAATCCGACAACAGATATGCATTTTTTGTAGCTACAATTTTGAAGGCAGAAATTCGCTCCGAGAGGTCTTGTTCACTTTTGACCATTCTGGGAAACCTCTTAAGAACATCATCTTGCGCACGCCAAACATACTACTGACAAATGTGAGCAGTACCTCGCGGGATGAATCGCTGTCACATAATTACTAATCCGGAAACAAATATCATCACGGTGAACTGGAACGTACTGGTTCACATATGCAAATTCTTCAGTACATTTTCCCATGGGTTGGTGTATTTGAGCTATCCAGCACCCACCTTGCATCCTCATTTTGGCGCTTGTTTCGGTCGGATTTGCATCTTCAAGTGTTCCCTGGGTATCATGCGCAAAATGTAATACTTAGGCGAATTGTCTATTAGCCAGATTACTCAATAGACAGTGTGATTGTCTTCCTCGTGGTCAACCACCGGTTTATGTGAGTCTGTCTCCACTGAGTGAGATTAGACAACGTTGAAAACTACTAGTTTGTTTCACCAAGCAGCTAGAGCAAGTATGGTAGGTAAAGCTTTTATGTCCATTTAGAATCAATCGGACGCAATGAGCATATCGAAATGAGCGAGGGACGTGTGAACAAGCTTGGATTGTTGATCGTAGCTCTGACGGTTTAGTGAATTCTGCTGGTCTTTTGCCCGCTCATTCCTCCACCCGCCGTCCACAGAGGGAAAGGAATCATCAATCCGGAAATGCATACTGCTGGAATTTGAGTAAAATTGCATGGCCTTTTCCCCTCATTTCGAATTTCTGCAGTACGGAAATGAAAGATCATGCTATTGGATGGACTCTGGTAAACCTGTTCGGGGCTAAATCTTTTAAAAGTTAGCTCCGATAATCAAATGAGACTTGCTTTCTGTATGTGGAACGGACATGTAGTCGGTACGAGCTTGACAAAAGGTATCGAAGCGCCACAAATCAACAGTGCGTGTCACCTTTCTGATGAATGAATCTGTACCTACGAGACTGGCTCATTCGCGTTTTGATAATGCCCTGTTTCCACCTCGTGAATGGTTCCCAAAAGCTGCTGTCATGTGCGTTTAAGCGCATGAAAGGCTTCGGTCTTTGCGATTGTCTAGGGCCTGTCATTGGGAGTGTGGTGAGCCACTAAAGGCCAGTAGAAATGTGGATGAAAATACAAAGGATGTACTAACAAGGAATCCTGAAAGTGTTGGTCACCGGCTCAACTTTATGTGATTGGATGAATTCGCAGCTTGAAAACGTCAGGTTCGTTCGAAAGACATCTGAACCAATGCGATGGTTCGTCCCTCCCAGATGGGGTTGTTTAGATAATACCTCGACACAGCATTACGACAAACGATGAGAAATTTGGTCAATCTAAACTTTGACAGTTTTGTTTGGAAATAAAATACACGCTGACTGCCCTTGAGTGAATTTTTTACGCATGGCCAAACCGTTTCATCCGTTTTTTATTCGATCGATCATGTGTGCTTTGGGAACATTAAAACACATTTTGTGATTGTTTGTTTCGAATCGTGAGAAAAGCCATCATTTTATGCTGTCAGATGCTCATCTTCTGGGTTTATCTGCCTATACGCGTTTTCCTGCGTTTTGCGTTGACCTAAGGAACAGGGTCAGATGGGTCTTTGTTCATCGATCAACCGAGACCAGTTCGTTCGTGTCCTACTGGGTTGGATCACCTGACCTGAACGAAAAGTACACAGCGGCTTTGTCAAATGAGCCGATAGAACACATTGACCGAGAGCTTTACCATGTACATCGCCTTCCACTGGCCACGTTCCGAACTAAAGTGCATGAGTAAATCACGAGAAATGCTCGTGCTGTTTTTTTATTTACCGAGGTGAGTGATCTGAATTTCGGTCAGAAGAATTAATATGCTTATTTTAGACGTTCGCAATAGGACAAATCAGGAAACGTAT